AGAGCCTTTGTTTATGCTCTATTGTGCTATAAAGCAGCAGATGGAGAAAGGGCCTATAGATGCCATCACAGGGGAAGCTCGCTACTCACTGAGTGAAGATAAGCTCATCCGACAGCAAATAGAGTACAAAACTTTGGTTAGTAGTCTAACACGCTCGCACATACTGCATATGCATCGTACATGTATGTGCATGTGCCATGTGTGTATTGTTTCCCGTGTGTATGCATGCAAGTGTGCGCATGTGCGTGTTTTTGTGCTCGGACAGACTGTTCATTAAGCCCTAATACCCTGCTGAAGCTGAAATTGGGCTCCTGCAGTGGGTGTGAAATTAGATTTCTGGGACCAGCAAATGGCCTTTCTCTCAACCTTGCCATGCATCCAAAGCTCGGCTCCATCAGAGCACTCCAACTGTGGATTACTCTTCATCCAGATCAACCTCATCCTCATTCGTTATCTCTCTCTTTCAGATTTTGAACTGTGTGAATCCGGATAACGAGAACAGTCCGGAGATTGCAGTGAAGGTGCTGAACTGTGATACCATTACGCAGGTGAAGGAAAAGATACTGGATGCCATCTACAAGAATATGCCCTACTCTCAGAGACCCAGAGCTGTAGACATGGACCTGGGTGAGTACTTATCCCGGCGCATTCAATTGATGACACACATAGCAAATATGTTTTTCCCTGTCATTAGTTATTTCCTTGTCATTGGGCGTGTGTATGTGTGATTGACAGATCTGCAGCAAGCCTCATTCAGCCTCATCTTGTTCTGTCTTCCTCGCATACACGCAGAAAAAAAACGCACATGCACGGGAATGAACACGTGCACACATACGCACACACCTCGGCAGGCTGTCATCGTTGTGGTAATCATAGTTATTGTCATGGGCATTAAGAGGATAATTTTCCCCACATGCCACTGAGTAAATTAGCGGTCAGCTACCCCACCCACACCATAGGAGCTGAGAGAGAGCGAGGTGTATATGTGTGTTACCCTTGGTAAAATATACTGGTGATTTTACATTGTTCAGCCATGTTATTTGGTCAGATTTAAACAATGATGTTTGCCTATAAAGCCAAAATTGGACCAAACCCCACTTACTGAATTTATCAGATTAAGACTGACGACTGATCTTTTCACTAAGCACCTATCAGAGCGCTAATGTAAAAAAAACAAAAAAAACAAAGACTCATTATTTTTGGTTTCTGTACCAACTCATTGCACTAACTCCTCCATAATAGAGTTTTAGCTTATTGTTAGACCCTGACCTATTTGTACTGGCATGAGGATGTGATTTTTTATGAATGAAAACTTCTGTAAGTTGCTCTGGATAAGTTTGCTAAATGCTATATATGCAATAATTCATTGGATCCATAAAATGACGCAAAAGAAATCATTTCTCATTTCTCATCCTCATTTCTGGCACACATATTTTCCACATAAATACGGCACAAAAGCTCCCCATCAGCGGTTCAAAACATCCTTCCAGCACCTTGGCTTGAACAACCGCTTCCATTGCAAGCTTTTTGGGCTTGGATCTGGCACAGCTCTGCGTGTGGTTTTTTTTTTTTTGTTTTTGTTTTTTTTTACAGCCATCATCTGTGCATCTGGCGAGCTCACAGCCTAATGAGGACCATTCAACAGAGGGGAAAATCGATGATCATTTTTTCTCTGAACCTGTCTAATTCTCCATCAACGCACTCTGTAGCATTTCTTTATTTTATGCGTGTGTGGGTGTTGTTTTCCAGAGTGGCGTCAGGGCCGGATGGCACGAGTGGTCTTGCAGGATGAAGATATCACCACCAAGATTGAGAATGACTGGAAGAGGCTCAACACACTCATGCACTATCAGGTAAGGTTATTTTATTGTCGGTATTAAAACTGAAGGGACTAGTTGAACAGCGATGTTGCTAGCCAACATATAACAAAATCAGAAAGGAACTGGCAAAGTCATAGTTACTCTCGACGAGATTACCATTAAACACAATTCCTGGCACGTGTAACTGAATATTAGAAGGCATTCAAATCATGATAGTGGTACAGAAACTCTGAACAGAAACTTTTGACTCCTACACAAAGCATTTCATCCTTTCAGTCGAAATTGCGTGTTCTTCTAGCTCTAGCTGCAAAGCCACGCTTTCGGTAGCATTCATCATTCAATTTGTCCAAGAATCCACCTGCTAGCACCTACGCTGCTAAGAGTTCTGTGGGTGGAGCGTTTGAGGCTGAGACTCTCTCTTTCCACTACTTGCTTTTATAGATGGGACGTGAGCTTCGCAAATTCTTTTCAACCTACAGTATCCTGCTTTAAAAGCTTTTTGTTGTCACGGTTTGTTTGCCCATCAGACTGATAAAAATCAGCACACTGATCGCCAGTGAGATTGTAATTGGCCAAGTTCTGATCGTTGTGGCCGCTCAGTGTACAATATACATCAGACGGTCCGTGGGCGAGTGTCTGAGTGGTCTGAAGTAAGTAGCTTTGGAGAAAACAGAGCTTTTTTCCATCTGCATCCTTTATCAGCATTTCACATGCAGTAATGGCTATTATTAGCTGGTGGAGCGAAGAGGTGTGTGTGTGTTTGTGTGTGCATGTGTGTGTGTATGAGTGACAGAGTGTGTGTAGGTTTTGACTGGAGTGTCTTGTCCGTTATGCTTATTTAACTGTGTCACCCTGCCCTTTACTTTCAAAGTACTGGAGTGTATCCTTGCCCCAACTTCAGCTCTACACATTGCAGAACGCAGCGCATTACGCAAATAAGGAAGGGGAAGAAATGAAAGGAAAAGTGATCGTGAAACACTCGTCTCTTTGTACATGTCTGCCTCTTTCTCTCCCTCTTTCTTTCTCTCCTCTAACAGCATCATGATGGAGTGGTTGTTTGTAGACTGATGTCTCTCTGCCTCGGCTTGCTTCATTTTGTTCATCCCCTTTTTATTGCGGTCATTATTAAGAGTGAAAGCTGTGTGGAAGAGAAACACAACGCATACACAAGCAAAAATAATCCCTGTCTACAGCATTAATGATAGATCTAAGGTGATTTGTGTTTTTGACTGTGTAAACTCTTAATACGGCCTGAAAGGCTACACAGAGATCAGGAAAATGAAAGGCACAGGAGATGAGAGAGGAAGAGCAGGCTTTTGGCATCTTTTAGAGGTGCATGATCACATTAACTGTGTTAAGTGGAACTTCAAATTCCTTGCCAAACATCTGGTTATGAGCCTACTAATAGAGAATAAGTATTCTTAAAGCAATAAGAGCCTTGTGTGTGTGTGTGGCTGTGAGGCTGTGTGGCTGACTGGGCAGATGAAACATGCATTTAAAAAAAGGGGACTTGTATGAACCTCTAATTGAAAAGTTTCGTATATAGATGAGGAAGAAAGCTCTCTTCATCTGTCTCAATGCATGAGCGAATATAGAATGTCCACTCCATCCATCGCCTCCACAGGAGCAACAGGTGCACATGCCTCTGCAGACCACAGAAAAATTACAGTCAATTCTACCATGTGAACACCACCATATATCCTCAGACATTGTGTATAGCAGTATCCCAAAGTGTGAGTTCACTGCAAAGCTGTTTTAATTTCAGCAGTAATGAAAAAGAAATGCAGTTCGGGATTGTTTTGATCAAGAGCGTCTCCTACCAATCTATAAGAGAATCCTGATCAATCTCGCCTGCTCCCACTGTTATTATTTTCTATTATTATCTACCTGTCCATGATATTTTCTAACGAACATAATTCAATATATTTCCCAAAATACAAACATTATTATTACAGTCATTTAGACAACTGTGCCCAGGATTCCGAATATTCAATACATTTTCTTGTTAATGAATGTGGACTTTCTTTGTCATACAAGTTTGCCCACATGAGTCGGCAAAACAACAGTTTTGTTGGATCTTACTGACTACTGATCTAATTTCCCCAAATTAACAATCTGTTCCTCCTGAATAACATTTAATATGCTGTATAATATGTTATAGTAGAGGAACCTCCTTGGAAAGGAAAAGAGAGAGCAGCAGCTTTAAGTGGAAATGTGATGACATGAAGCACTTGCCACTGATTACTGACTAGAATTGCACAAGCGTGATTAGTCTATTAGGTCATCAAATAAGGATTTCATTAGCCTAGATAGCATTGCGCTCAATTTTCATCTTTCTGTTAATCTCTGCGTCTCCTTCTTTCTTTCTCATCAGTTCGGTTAATTTCACTTACGTTCTCGCAAAACCGAAACTGAAATCAGAAACCGAGTTTTTAAGTTTGAAAGTTATTTAAAAAAAAAAAGTCACTCGCTCAGTCCAATCAGCAGAGGTGAGACTGTTAACCTTGCACAGGTTGACTATCATTTGCAGGCGGGGAGTGTGTCCCTGAGGGGCTGCTGTACTCTTGGGGCAGCAGATGAATTTCCAATTTCAAGGATTTGAGTGGCATGAGAGATAAGAAATTAACAATTCAAATGTGCTGAGTGTGAGCTAAGTAGTGTGCCCAAGAGTGTGTGTGTAATGTGCTGAAGTGTACATCTGTTTCTTTGAGTGTCAATGGCAATGGATTCATGCCTAGAATATCTTGTACAGTATGCCACTCGGTTGTTGAAGAAGCAATTAAAAACGTGTTTTAAAACATAGCACAGGGTATGAAATTAGTCATTAAGCATCCCAACACATATTAAGCAATTGGCCTTAATCATGTCTCTGGAAGTTCTCTTTGTGCATTGCTGCTGGTGACACATGAATAACAGATGATAATACACATTGATAACAGTGGTGCTATAAATATGGCATATCATTGGAATTATCAGCCCCACTGATGCATCATTCTCAAATCTATTTAATGTTTTCTTGACACCTAGAGCACAGCTTCATCTGTTGCTCAGCAAGCCTGAGCCTCTAACAGATTTGAATTTACATTTATTCATTTGGCAGACTCTTATCCAACATGATTTACAGTTGAACCGAGCAGAGCAGGGTTAAGGGCCTTGCTCAAGGACCCAACAGTGGCAGCTTGGCAGTATTGGGATTCAAACTGACAACCTTCCAAGCTGTAGTCCAGAGCCCTAACCACTAAGCCACCACTGCCTGCACCACCACAGCCACACGGAAGCTGTGGCAGGGGCAACACAGCTATATTCTTCAGTGTGCACACATTTATAATAAAATAAGTAAATAAATAAAAAAAAAAACAGTCCTTTGCAAATGCATGCATAAACATTTCTGGACAATGCTGAGACATGAACTGAGCAGTGGTTATTTTAACATGATTAAAACTCCCGTGCAAGTCTACACTGTAGATATTCGTGGTGTATTTATAAATGCATATTTGCATGATTGTCTTAAATTGGCTTAGCGTAAATTTCCCTTTTGGGAGAAACCACTAAGTATGAGATTTTTCTGCAACAGTTCGTGATGAACTGAATGGTGGGCAGAGCAATGACGGTTTCACTTCCTGCTTGCTTGAAGGTGGCCTTTGAGTTAATGCTCTGCCTGCTCAGGGAGCTTTTGCTGATGCCCATCAGAGAAAGGCCATGGGGATCAGAGATATTGGAAAAAGGCTTGGCTTTTTGTGTTTGATTGAGGCCTTATCTCACCAAACGCTGGCCGTTTATCACTTCCACCCAGCCACTATCAGACAGCCTTTCCAGCCCAGGATTATCTCTCAAGGGCAAATCCACCTTCCTTCAATCATCTGCCATCTATCTCCATATAGACACTCCATGCGCTTTCTGCTGCTTTATGAAATACTCAGGCACAAACGCACACAGCAAGTATAAGAAAAGAGAATTTAGCAGAGATAGGGATTTTGTATTTTTGTTGTTAAAAACTAGTTTGGGAAAAAACATGTGACTTGGAGGGATGTAGAAAAAGACACATTTGCAAGCCTCAGCAATTCAAAATCATGCTTAGGCCACACTTATGAAGTCTACACAAAGAATGTAACACCTAGTCTTTAAGATGCTGGAATATGGAATGTTGGGCATCTTAAAGATCTAAACCCACTCCTTGCCAGTTTACTGACTTTTATATTTAACACCGTGACACTGTCACGAAAGCCGTTTCCCTATGTGCCATTTCAACAAAGGACCTGATTGTGCAGCCAGAAAAAAAAAAATGAATGAACCAGAATCTTAATGTCTCTACATGACAACTACTAAATTGCAAATGCTAGAATGATAAACTGTTTTAGCATTTGCAATTTAATAGTTGTTTCAGCCCATTGAAATTGCCCAAAATGTCAGCATTCAACATTTTGGAGGTTTGTAAATTTGGACAACATTTAAGCATTTATCTTATTCAGTAGAGAAAGTTGAGGAGCCAGAGAGAGAGAGAGAGAGAGAAAGAGAGAAAAGTGAAAGGTGCTGCTAAAGGAGCCTTTCCTGGTGTCAAGGGTGGAAGCCAGAGATACATGAAATGGAGAAAATGGGAGCATGGAGAGCAAGGGGTAGGAGTTAGAAAGAAAGGTTACCTTTCTGAGAGTCTTATAAGCAGAGTGTCGACTCTGACATGATTTCTTTCACATTCTTCCCCTCCTTCGAGTATCTCTCCAGCCAGGCCATTAGCCCCATGCAAGGTAGGATTCAGCCCTGAACTGGACACTTACTAATGGTCCTGGGGGGAGGAGGACTGGAGGAGAGAAGGAGAAAGAAGAGGAGTGAAGCAGTGCTAGGGGATTTCTGACTACAGGCAGCTTTTACACTGAGGCAACAGAAGAGAAGAGATTATGGACTCTATTACAGAGATGAGAGAGACCTGTTTTTCCCTTTGTGAAATGGACTTTCTGAAGCTTTGACCATCTTAGGCTGTTGGAGTTGACCTCTCTCTCTCTCTCTCTCTCTCTCTCTCTCACTCACACACACAGACACACACACACATACACACTCCTTTCTGCTTTGCTCTTCCACTTCTTTTTTCAATCTAAGAATGTTAGCTGCATACTTAAAGCACTTGAAATAAAGTGCATTCAGACTTCATTCTTGAAATCAGATTCCCTTCATCTTATAGTACTTATGTAGGAGTAATCCATACCTAGCCATTTGTCATTAAGGACAATGCAGGGAGCTCTGTAGGCATCCAAAGAGGTGAGCGCTGAAATGACCTCATTGAGACAAGCATTCTGAGTGGGTGGACTACAGAGAGGAGTTGAAAGAAAACACGGCCAGGGGACTTACAGCAAAGCTATACATTTGCAAGGGAAATGTTCAGAGGGATGTTGGGCAATAAACTGCAACGGAAAGAGATTTGGTTTCTAAGTCAGGTTAAAGGGTGTAAACGTTTAGTGTCAGTTTTAAGCTTGAGTGAGGCTAATTCTCCATTTTGGAAATCTGGAGAATCAGCATTGACTTTCAGACTCCTGACAAAAAGCTCCTGTCTCCCTCCATTATTTCCCACCAGCTCTTTCTTTTAGCTTTCTATCCTCAAATCTGTTTATCAGGTTCCAATTTATATATAACTGTATATATCCTATTCCTCTCTTACCCCTACTCCATCGTTTGTATGCTCTAGTTCATATGCTCTGCTATTATCTGTCTCTTTCATTAGCAGAAAGTCCAAGCAACTTAGTAACACCACCTCCACACCACCTTAGTATCACCTCCTCCACACACACACACACACACACACACACACACACACACACACTCTCTCTCTCTCTCTCTCTCTCTCTCTCTCTCATCGTGCCTGATTGAGCATGACTAGCTAGTTAGCAAAGCAGAGCAGTCATAAGTTAAATGCTAACTCTGCTAATTCACGTTTCTCACTAACTCAAAATTCTGCTAACTCAAAATTCTGCCTCTCTGCCAGACTCAAAGCAGGAATTTTGCTTGCTGGTTGGCAAATGTTTAATAATCCTTTTAGAATGAATGCTAATGCACAGTGCAACGAAAACAAAACGTAACTAGCTAATTAAACAAGCCAATTTTCAAAAACCCTATCTAGCTAGCTAATTTAACTAGCTAAATTACAACACTTAACTAGTTGATTTACCAAACTTAAAGTTAACTCACCATACTTAGCAAATGTTCATTCAGCAAAAGTCAACATCTTATTAAATAGAAAAAGAAAAAAAAAAGAAAAATCTAATATTTGTGATTACTTTGAAGGTAAATGAAAATCTATGAGTATCTATATGAGTATGTTTTGTTCTCTTGGAAATTAATTTGAGTAAGAGTACAATAATTATAATAAGTACAATAAGTAACAATAACAATAATAATAATTTCAATAATACTTGAGTAATGTACAAATCTTCCCAAATAGTGTTAAAGTAACAAAGTAATTTCCACCTCTGAAAGCCACTGAGGACTTTCAGGGTGGATGAAGAGGACTATGAGGAGTATGTGCTGACTTCTGACTGGGCTTCTGTTCTCTCAGATCCAATGTATGCAGGGAACATTCACTTGTTTTATCAGCAGATAAACTATTTGCCTCACTACTCTCCTAATTGCCTCACGCTGCACTGACAGTTTGTGGAGTCAGTAACCGTGAAATGGTTCTCGACTCTTGAATAGAAGCGCTGGAACTACCGAATGAAATTGTGAAGCTTAGCTTTGTGTTTGCTAGTTTCTTTCTAATATCATGTATCAATGGTTTTGCTATTATTTTCTTTATGCTTCATTAAGTAACTGAAAATTCTCCTTTACCCACTACAGTAGCAGGCCATTCTTTGTCTTTGTGCAGGTGTCAGACCGCTCTGTAGTGGCGCTGGTTCCGAAGCAGACCTCCTCCTACAACATTCCTCCCACAGCCAGCATTTCCCGCACATCCATCAGCAGATATGGTGAGTGCTTCCCAATTTGTTTCTCTGGAGCCATGAACATAGATGAGATGCCATTATCAAGGAAACGGTGCCAGTTTGTGCATTCTAACACATTTGCCATCTGACATCAGTTTTAGTGCATTCACAAGAAGAGCTGTAACAAGGATCAAAATATGAGTGAGGTCCACACAGAAACAGAAATAATTTCATAGTTAACATTGCTGAAAGTGTACTACATCAATTGATATTTTTTATTTTCTGTTATGTTATTTTTTCCCCCTTCTTCCATAAACTGCTTGGACTCCAGTTAGACCAGTTAATTTTACTGAGTTATATATTTTGGTTTATAGTATTAATTTCAGCCTTCAAAATTAGGAAATTGACAGTGAATTGACAATGAATTGACTTCATATTAAAGGAGCACATAGCAGGAAGTCTATTTGATCTAGTTATTATAAATTATACATATTTTTATAAATATTATAATTTGTAATAACTAGATAAAATTCTTATAACTTATTATGAGGTTTCCTCATTGTTGGTTGTGGCCATTTTAACAAATACCTAAAAGTCTTATACCAACAGTACAATAAAAAGTACATAATTTTTTAAGATGGTCAACAAGACAGCTATGAGCGCATGTCTGCTTGAGTGCAGTTTTAAATGATGCTCTGGTGACAGTGT